GGCGGGGAGCCGCTGCCCCGCGGGGCTGAGGGAGAGGCAAGGCAGGGCCCGGCCGTCGAGAGGGACTTAAAACCCAGACTGAGGGAAGTGCCTTGTCGAGACAGCCTCGGTCCTCGTAAATTAACAGTTTAACAGGGTATCTCATACTACAAACCACAGCCGTTCCTTCTTGTATTAAAGGTTTTTTTAGTGAAAACAACTTGTTCCAAGAGGAGAGGAATGTTCTTCTGACAGTTGCTACATAGCCACGTTACAGCAGCAGTTAGCTGTGGTTTTGGTAAATGAAATTTTCCTGGTATCTGACAAAAAGATAGTTGCAAAAGACATAACTCTGTTCCTAAAACAAACTGCTCCCTTAAAACAGTAGAGTTTTTAGCACAGAGAACATGAATAGATTTGATATCGATACCACCGTCTAGCATTGTTCTCTTGTCCAGCTGTGTCTGGTGTCCGAGCTGCCTAATTAAAATGTGAGTCTATGCAAGTGGACTAAGCATATGTATCTTCATAGTCTTAAATATATAAGGATCTGCCAACAAAGTGTTTAAAGCAAATTAACACAGGTGTTGAAAGGAATTCTGGTTCCCTTCAAGGTAATACAGTCCCACTTGTGGTGTGGATTTACAGTTATTAACACTCAGATGAGGACCTTCACTCAACAGTGACATCTCTGTCGTGGTTTCCCCAACAGATTAGATTTGGAGGAGCTTATCTAAGTGTAACATCAGGATTAACGTGCCAGTTAGGTCAAATAGTAAGCTGCTACTCTCATGTTTACCTGAGCATTTTATGTACTCAGTTTGGTGTGAGAAAAGGAATGTGGTAGATATGGTATGTACTCTGAAAACTGAATGATTACGCAAGGATCACTGCTTACTTGGAGGTGAGCTTCTGCTTTGAGGTGCTCCAGAGTAAGCATGAATAACCATTTAATGTCTGGAAAATATATGTACATATATTCTTCTGGCTCTGAATCATTGTATAGAACTGACCAGGCATCATCTGAATTCGGATGCTTTAAAAAAAAAAAAAATAATCCAGCTCTTCCTGTTGCTAAACCTACCAACCTAAAGCTTTTACAGATCACTGAGCCCAGTTGTGTTATCGCAGTCAACCATGTCATACAATCTTGCATGTAAACACGACATGCTATTTCTAGAACTAGATAGGTCACTGCCCACCCTGTCCCAGTGGAAGGCCAGTCCAAAACCTTGCAGGTCTGATGATAGATAATAACTTAAATTATTATGAGGGAACTGGGATTGTTTAGCCTGCAGAAAAGGAGGCTCAGGGGAGACCTCATCGCTCTCTACAACTACCTGAAAGGAGGTTGTAGCCAGGTGGGTGTCGGTCTCTTCTCCCAAGTAACAAGCGACAGGACAAGAGGAAATACTTCTTCACCAAAAGGGTTGTCAAGCATTGGAACAGGCTGCCCAGGGAAGTGGTTGAGTCACCATCCCCAGAGGTATTTAAAAGACGTGTAGACGTGGCGTTTAGGGACATGGTTTAGTGGTGGACTTGGTAGTGCTAGGTTAACGGTTGGACTTGATGATCTTAAGGGTCTTTTCCAACCTAAATGATTCTATGAAATTTGGTTTTTAGACTACATTTCTTAACACTGTTTTTTTTCCTTATGTCAGTCTTGGTTTTTTACTCAGGTAATGCCTCTTCCACTCTGGTTTTTACTTCCCTTCTCTATCACTGAAGAGCAATAATATTAACCCAAACATTAATATTTTAAAAGATTTAATGCCATACAGGGTCATCATCTTAGTATTTTATACTCAGCCAGTGTTCAGACTGCATGGAAAATTTTAGTTATCCACTCCAGACCTAATTTATTGAAACCCCCCCCCAAAACAAAACCAAAAAACCCAAACGCATACAAATAACCAGTCATTTTAACTATGCAAGATGGCACAGCCAATACATTTAGGACTGAAAATGTACCTGTTTAGCTTAGGTGACAAACTCAGAGACCAAAAGGAGCACATTTGTGGGAAGGTTTTGGCCCCCTGAATATGTAACACCTCACAGTCTCAGAGTTATGATAAAGCTGCCAAATGTTTTATGTCATAGCTTTCATTTATCTTTTCCAAATGCCCAGAAGGCACGTTAAGAGAAAAGCAGCCCCACCAGTTCCTATGGCTGAACAGGCTGCAGTACCGGAGACACCAGCCTCTGCCCAACAGGGCTGCATTTTTGCTCCACAATAAACTCTACCTGCTGAGCTCAGGAGCAGCCTCAGTTCACTTCCATGCAGCAGAAACTGATGGCAAAAAGTGATGGTTTACACAGAATATGGTTACTCCACAGTAGATAACTTCTGCAAGGCACGACTGAGAATATCAAGCTGCATACCAGCTTTCAGCTGACAACCAAAAGACCAAACTAATGAGGAAGCTTTTCATGCTGTCATAAATAAGGTAATTTATGCAATTTCTAGCTGAACAGTTTTATTCTCACCCTATTCTTTACAGTATTCATATTCAGGGTAGGTATTCTCTGGGATAGAGATAATTACCTTGAACAGTCAGCTGAACTAAAGGCAAAATGGTAATTTTCCTTTTTTGTGTCTCATGACTTGATTGTAGTTACAGAAGAGTTTCTTTTTTTGGTTAATTAATAACAGATTTGTAATTGATAACAGATGTGTCAAAAGGCCTGTTATGACAATTCCTGGTTTAAGAACAGAGACAAGAGAATAATTCGTGAATGTGATTGTGTTCAAGAAACTATGAGAAAGGGTTTGCTGACTCTCAAGCTTGCCCAAGCCCTTTGTAGTCCACATGCCCAAACCTTCCTATCACCTTCTATGATATCAGAACACCACCACTGCCTAGCTACTATGATAGCTAGGCAATGGCAAAACTATTGGACCATATTGATTAATAAGCTGAGGCAAGACTAGGTAGTCCTGCTTTCCTAGTCATGTAAAATACTACGTGTTAAGCAGCACCATTAGTCCCAGGTTTATAATATTAAATCTGGTTTTAAATATTGACAACTTGTAAAAATGCACACAGCAATTTTCATTCAGCATGATTTCAAACACAACTACTTCAATCTGGCATTCTAAAACGGTCATGCAAGTTTATCAACTGAGGTTTCCCTGTCCTTTATCTTTTTTCATCGGTATTGCAAGATACCCCTTCTCATTCTCTTGTCCCCAAAAATGTCCTTTCCCACAAACACTATCATCCCATCCTACTTGTGCCTCTCCCTTATTTCTTTCTTACCTCCCTGAGGAATAACAAGCTGCAAGTGGTATCAAAAATCACTGCCCCAGAATCAAAGCGCAGCTGTCAGCCTCTCTGATTCTAATACCCTGCTGGGTAAATCCTCTGGAGCTACTTGCTGTTGGAAAAATAAAGTCAGATAAATAAACAATAATACTTTTTCAACAGTTTATTTGTGCAAAGGAGAAATATACTGGGACTAAAACCCCAAAGAGAAAGTGCTGATTTATAGCATGAAATAGGAAGTCAGCTCCTTCCTCATTACTTCAGTCTCAAGTCCTTGGCTTGAACTATATATATAGTTTTGGTTTTAAAATTTTTTTTTTTAAAGAAGAAAAAAATCCATACTGTGCCAAATGGAAATAAAACAGGAGGTGTTCTAACCTCCTGAGGTCCCTCTGAAGTTTCAGAAGACGGCTTTACTGATTTTGGAAAGGTTTTCTGAAAATATATTTGTTTTCAGAAGCGTGAATGGATTTCAAACACAGAAATCTTACTAATTTTTATGTGACATGAGTATCTCCCCCACACCTACTTAGTATCCAGCCTATTTTAATACTTAATACAACTGGGTTTGCAAGCCAAAAAAGCTGATGATAATCACACATTACTTGCATTGCTACAGTCACACTGAGATTCAATAAAAGCCATTTTTCTTCAAATAAAGTGTTTTTATAAGAAACATACATAGGTAAATCTTTAACAAGACTTACCTTACAAAGATAGTTTTGTCATTAGAGTTTAAATGTAAAGCTTAAGTGTTTCAACTCATCCCCTCCTAGTTATAGTCCTGCTTCCATTACGAGTCTCGGACGGTGGGGGGGGGGGGGGGGGGGATCACAAAAAAAACAGAACAAAGAAAACATTCTAAGCCAGTCTGAAACAACCAGGCCTAACTGTTAAATCAGGATTTACCACCAGCGTTTAAGTCTTTCTTCATGAACAGTAGGTAAGCATTACCATGTCTGAGTTACCTATTGGCCAAAACGCAAGAGATCATATCTAGGAACAGTGTTTGAAAAAGAAAGAGGTTTTGGGGTTTTGTTTGTTTGTTTTTGTAAAGAGCCACGGCCACTAGTTCATTCTTTATAGGGTGTTCTTCATAGTTTGTTCTTTAGACTGAAATTGCAACGTTATTGTGAAAGGGGATTCCATTTTCATAACAGTTTTCCAAGAAAATATTAATTTTCTTCAAAGCATAACAACTGTCACTGAACTTATCAAATAGGTAGATTACAGTGAATAATAACTGAATAGTGAACCTAGTTCAGACCAGCACCTTTAAATAACTGCGATGCTCTTTGTCTCATTGTAATGTTTCTTCACAA